CTTAAAATCCCAAATGACTTCTAGGAATGTGTGTGTGTGTGTGTGTGTGTGTGTGTGTGTGTGTGCGTGCGTGCAGGTGAAAGCTGGACAATGACTTGGGATGACAGAAGGAAAATTGATGCCTTTGAGCTGTGGTGCTGGGGAAGAGTATTGAATATACTGTAAACTGCTAGGAGAACAAACAGGTTCAGCCTAGAGAGGGTGAAACCAGACTGTTCCTTGGAGGCAAGGATTCTGAAGCTCCATCTGATATACTTTGGGCATATTACAAGGAAGGGCCAGTCCTTGGTTAGGGACATCATGTTTAGAAGGGTGGAGAGACAGCAGGAGAGAGGAAGACCCTCGAAGAAATGGATTGATTCAGTGACTGGGGTAATGGGGCTAAGTGTGTCAGAGAGAATAAGACTGGCTCAGGATAGAGCAGAGTTCAAAGTTGCTGTATATAGGGTTGCTATGAGTTGCAAGTGATTCAATAGCACATAACAAAAACAACAACTTATATATATTTGGGCTACAATCCTAAAGGCACATATTTTTAATTCACCAACTGCTCTGAGGAGAAAAGAGGGTAATCTCCTCCCATGCGATTTACCACCTTTCAACATCCTCTGGAGGGTTGGAGGGTCAGTTATGGATTGGTTCCACCTCGATGGCAAATAACCATATTTTAAATTTAGGGGAGAGATTGAGCACTCCTGCAGTGGATCAAAGTCCGGAGCAGGAAGGCAGGAGGCATAGTATTACTTCATTGACCTGTGATAAAGCCAACTTGACAGAAGGACAGGTCTATTCCGTTAGAGAGTCAAGGACTGACTTTGAGCCACCCCTTCCATTCCAGGCAATGAAATGGAATCTTGGAAAGACTGAAAGATTGACCTGAAATTCTATCTGAGCCTAAATTAGAACCCAGGGCCTGTTCACTGTACAAAGTGGAGAAGAAGCATAATAATACAGATTTCTTCCCACCAGGAACCTCCTGCTGTTCTCTTTCCAGCCCTCCCTGGCCTCTCATGCCTTCAGCCCAGATTGAGAAGCAGATGAGACACTTAGCCTCAGGTCGTGGGGAGAAAAAGGCAGAACCCTTCGCTGGTGAGGTGTGACTCTATGGAGGTGTGTTGTGCTTCCCCGGGGGGCTGAGACTGAGGGGCTGAGGAAGGCTGGGAGAGAAGCCTGAGTGGAGAAGAGGGCAGCTGGAGAAAGGGGAGGGGGCGCTGGAACTCAGTGCCTGGGCAAGCAGGCTGGTCCAGCTCTCACACAGCGCCAGGGAGACTCAGAGTAAACTCTCTCCTTCTTGCACCCGGCTCTTTGTTGTCAGCCTCTGCCTCTGGCTCTCATTCCTGCCCTACCGTCCCCCGCCCCCCTGAAGTCACCCCAACTGCACTCATAATATTTTGCTTTGCGCAGTGTCTGTTTTCCACCACCAACTTCCAGCAGTCTCCATGGCAACGTGCAGAGCAAGGGGTGGGGGGAGCAGGCGCTGTGGCGATGGCAGGCCCAGGCAGCAGGGCTGCCCCTGCAAACTTGTCCTAGTCCGGGCCCCCAGGCCCCCAGAGGGAAAGCACCAGGACAGCATGCAGGCCTCCCAGGGCTGGGTCCTGGGACTTGCGTCTGCACCCGCTAGACCCTGGGACCTTGCGGCTCTCTCTGGACCCTGCTTTCGAACTCAGGGGCTGGTGCCTACCAGGTAGCTGGAAGAGGAACGCACTGGAACCCTTTGCAGGCTATAGACACACACATACACAGACACCTCGGGAGAGCCAGACAGCTTAGTTTGAGCTCTCAGCGAGGCTCAGACGCTCGACCCTCTACTTCCCTGAGCGTACTGGCTCGTTTTGAGCCACTGAGAGCGGCTTCTCCTGCCCAGTGCCTTGGAGAGCGGACACAGGTGCATCGGGCCCTGTTTGCTATGAGGCAGCTCTGTCCTGGGGGCCCTGCGCCAGTGCCTCACTTCGAAAGGTGTCCCCACAGCCAGACAGGGTCTTTTGCCTTGTGGGAACGCAGGTCTGTGTGCCCTCTCATCGACGTGGCCCTGGGTGCTCAGCTCTTGCTCTGGGGCGCTTTGGCTGCCCTGCTGTAGGGTTTGGAGATCCAACAGCGAGTGGGAAGACGCAAAGGTTTCCGGCTCAGGCTTGGCTGCGCTTCTCTACCATCTGGTCTCACAAGAAGTGACTTTTCTGTTATGTGGGCCACCAACTCGGCGCATTTTGCACAAGTTCTCAGAGGCCCAAAGTTTCTCTCACACTCTCGCCTCTCATTTCCCGAGTTTCCAGGTAAGAATAACTGCACACAGCACAGCCTGATCGGCCCACTAGATTGGACTCGCAGCGACCTAAAGAGGCTCCGCCAACAACTGCGTGGAGCTCGCGGGCCACGCGGCCTCCGGGTCCCTGCCCTTGGATCTCCATGGCTGCTGGGTTTGCGGTGAAGCCGGGTGCAGAGCACCCCAGCTACACAGCGTGCACTGGTGGCCGGCGCTCCCCGAAATTGAGCGGCGGAGCAGAGTCCACCGGAGCGCCCCGCTTTGTCAGGCTCAGCCAGAGAGCTAAGGGCCCTGGAGGCGCGCGTCGGTTCCCCGCCTCCCCCGACGGGCCCATTGTCTTCGTCCCACACTTGTTGAAAGTATTTTGAGAAAACTCGAGGAATATATTACCGGCTCGGTGCGCAGAACAAAGGGGCGCATTTCCGCAGGTCACGCTGAAGTGGCCCCAAGGCAGGCTACTAGAGCTGGGCCCCTGCAAAACTGCTCTCCCAGGCCCGAGGCACTTCGCGGGGATTTTCCCCGTTAAAAGGAGGGGATTGAGGCCCAGCCTGTGGCCTCTCTGATCCTGGAAGCCCCTGACTCACCCGGCACTGGCGAAATCGAAATGGGATGTTTCAACTCTTTCTGCATAAAACAGTAATAATGCTAAATGTTCTTGGCTCTGATGGTGCGTAAAAAAGGAATCAAAGTACTCCAAGAAGCGTTCTTTTACATAACAAGGTGGGGAGGGGGGGCAGGGAACCTAATTGGATTAAGTTCTCTAGGAGGTGAGGTGGGGTTCCTTGACCCACCACACCAAGCCACTTCCGGCAAACCCGAGTGAAATGCACCTCGTGCCATTCCCACCAGTCCCTCTGCCCCAAAACGTAAGAATTTCCGTTCAGGCTGGTGACCTAAGGGGTGGGAGAGGGAGGGCTGGGAAAGACTTTTTCGGGTGTTTGCGATCGAAGTGGAAGTGTTGGCCAAATCGAAAACTAAAACGAATGTTTCCACAGCACCCCAATCCCGTGAGGTGAAACTCCCCCAGCCCGCCCCGTGGCTCTAGGCGCGTTTGGAGAACGACTCTCATCCCCTGAGCGGTATCAGGGTAAGTTTGGAATGCAGGGTGCCCTCATCCTCTTGGTGGGCCCCTTGTAAGGACTGAGCTCTAATTCTGCGGAACTGGGTTTAATTTTGCTCTGGGACATTCGATGCTAAAGTTGGGGTGTTCAGAAGGTGCACAGTGACACAAGCGCTTCTGTTTTCAAACGGAGAAGAAATTCTCTTCCCGAGTTCGCTTTGCAGAGGGCGGCAAGACCCGGGTGGGGCCTGCCGGCCGCCCTGCACCCAAACATGCGGGAAAGAGATGCCTCTCTTTGCCTGAAATTGTCATGGTTTATCATCGTATCTGGGAACTGTCTCTATGCCCCTCCAAGGACCCATACCCAGCCCGGGGCGCAGAGCTCAATCCGAAACGGACTTGTTTTTTGGGATCAGAGATAGACAACTACGGTGGAAACAGACACATCCCCACATGTCCACAAAGGGGCCGAGTGTCCCCACCATACGCAGTGGTAGAAGCCTATCTGCAGTAACCTGGCCAATGCCCACATGACCCCCAGCCCCTCTGCACACTCGTTCCCAGCCCGTCTAGTGGGGGGAAGTGGGGAGATGTTGGTGTGGTGTCTGCGCTGGGAAAGGAGACGCACTGTGCTAGGACGTGGCCGAGGCGGAAAGCCACTTGTTGCTCCTCGCTGCAAACCGCAGACACCCTCCGCGGAGACTGAGTCCCTCTCCGCCAGGCTGCCTCTTCGGAAACCCATGTCTCCAAGAAAACTCAAGGCTGCAGGTGAGCCCTGAGATAACAACTAGGAAAAGGTGTGAACTTCCAGAGAACTTCCACCTGGAAAGGGGTGTGGGACATAATTGGGTCTAGCAGTTCTGAGGCTTCAAAGCTCTGCGCCTTGAGGCTCTCTTGGAGAAAGAATTGAGATACCGGAATTTTGTCTGTATATAAAGAGTCTTTGACTTCTCATTTTGCTGCAAGCCTCTGCCATCCCAAAACCTGACGCCTATCACCAAAAGACCCCCCCCCCCAAACTGCACAGGAGTGCGCAGTGGCCGGGCCTCGCAGCTGGGCCGGCGCCTCGGAGCGCAGTGCGCGGACCGGTGCCCTTCCCCGGCATGGCCCCCTGCGGGGCGGATTCCCAGGACCACCAGGCTCGCCGCCGCCACTCCCTCCAGATGTGCGTCCCCACCGGCCGATGCTGAGGTCCCCACCTCCCTCCCCGGGGCCCGGAGCGAAGCGGTCACCCTCCCCCGCCTGGAGGCCGTTCCGCTCGACTTCCTCGCCACCAGCGGCCCAGAGCGCCCCGAGGCCCCCAGACCCGGGGGAGGAGCCGGGCCCGGGAGGGGGCGGGCGGCTCGCAAAGTTGCGGCCGAGGTGCAGCGAGCTCGCCGCGAGCCAGCGCGTCTTTACGTGACTTTGTGTCCGGGGCGATGGGCGCGCGCTCCTTCCTCCGCGCGCGCACACACGCGTGCGCACTTCCACGCACGCGCACACTCTTCCCCGCGTTCGCGTGGGCGTGCGCCCCGCTCTCAGCGCGCGCGACGCGAAACTTCTGCAGGTTCTGCCTTCACTCCCCGGGTTCCACTGTCAAGTTGAAGCCTCTGAACTTTTTTTTGCAACTCTTGCTAAAGTTCCCCTTCTCCCTCGCCTTCCTTCCCTCCCGCGGCCCCCCGCCCCCGCGGCAGGACTAACCTGTGGAATCCATGTCGGGTTCCTCCAGTAACCCACAATGCATGCTCTTCCCATGGACAGCACGGGCGCCCCCCCAAAAGTCCTGATGTTTGGGGATCCCCTGCGCTAGAGAGGCCCAGGGAGGCAGGGAACAGAGGGAAGGGAGGAGAGGGAGACGCAGAGAGAGGGCGAGTGGATAAAGGGGGGAAAAGAGAAAGAAAAGAGGAGGAAGAAAAGCAGAGAGCGAGCGCAGGGTGAGCGCGCAGAGAAGGAGCGAGAAGGCAAGCGGGCGAGGGAGCGAGGGGACACTCCGTAATCCAGCCGGGCAAAGCCAAAGCCGTCAAAATGTTTGTGGATGTTCCATGGGAAAAAGCATCATTTTATAGGAGCCCGATGGGAGCAATGTCATTGATAGGCCAGCCGGCCTGATGAATGGCCGCTCGTCAGATGGGGCCGTGGCGAGGCGCTCTGTGAAGCCCATTGTGGGCCTGTTTTGAATAAGAAAAGCCGCCTCAGAAAAGGGGGGCTCGGAGCGACGCAATCCCAGCCCTCCGACTTCCCCCTTCTATTATAGCATTAGCAAGGTTTTTCTTATTTAAAGTTCCAGAGGCCTTCTCCAGCCTTCGCCCGCACTCATTATAGGCGAAATCAAAATTGGCTTAGATGTGGCCCCCTCCTCCCCCTCATTCTCCCCTTCCAAACCCCGCCCGGCGCGGGGAGGGGGGGGCGGGCAGGGACCCCGGGAAGCTGGAGGAGTCGCCTCTGCGCCCACGAGTGGGCCCCTCTCCCTTCCTTCCTCGGTGGCCCCCTCAGTCCCATCCTGGGTTAAGTTTCCGCTGCGGGGCCCGAAGAGCGAGAGGGGCTGGTTCTCTGAGTTCCCACGCGGACTCGCGGACACGCGTGGAGTCGAGTCAGACCTGGAGCTGCCAGTTGAGGGGTGGGAAAGGCGTAAAGAGGGGGGCCCTCCGGAGCTCTGAGACACCAGCCTCCAACCTGGGCTGCAGAAGGCCTCTGGGCAGGCAGGGGGTGAGGGGCCCCGCTGGCTGCCTCCAGAACTTTCTGTGGGTCCCCCTCCTTCTCCAGGCCTCGCCTTTCCTTCTTCCTGTCCACCCCCCTACACACACACACACACACACACACACACACACACACACACACCCCCCCACCCACCCCCCCACCCACCCGTGTGGGTCTCTAACCCCGCGTCCCTCTCTGATCCTCTGTGTCTGCATTTCCATCCTCCCTCTTCGGTTGTCTCTGTCCAGCTCTGGCCCCCATGTCTCTTTGTCCTTCCCTAGGGTCCGGTCCCCCTCTCTCGCTATCCCCCGTGGCCCCTCTGTTCACCCCCACCTCTTCTCTTAACTCTGTCTGTCAGTCCGTCTGGGGCACAGTCCCTCCCTCCTTCCCCACCCCCTCCCACCCGTCGCCAAGTTGATGAGAAGCCCCGGCGTCCGAGTGGGGGACGAGGTTTTCCCAGGAACCCCCTCCCCGGCGGAGTTTAAAGTGCAGAGGGGGGGCCGAGGCGCTGAGGGGCTGGAAGTGGAAGTGGGGGGGCCGGCTGCGGGCCCCGATAAAGTGGCCGTTCGCGGGCCGGCCGCGCTGTGATTAGAATATGAATGGGGCTCGGCGGGCGGAAGAGAAAGGCGGATTACCCGGCTGCTTTGACCATGGACAGAGGCAGCGCCGGCGGGCCGGCCGGGGGCGGGCCCCGAGGGTCCCTAACGCCGCGCGGGGGCGGCGGGGAGTCTCTAAGCTGGGACCCAGGCTGGGCGCAGCGCCCCGAGGACCTAGAAAGCGCCCCCAGTTTTCTCCATCTCTAGTAAAACTAAGTGGGACAGTGGGGACGTGGGGTGGCGAGGGGCCAGCGCATGCCGAGTTAAGGTCACAGCGTTGGAGGAAGGAAGGGTGAGGAGGCGCCATCTGGGACCCGGCAGAGTTCAGGCTTAGCGGATTCCAACATGGGCTTTCAGTGCCCACTCTGCAATTCGGGAACATCCCCGGGCCTCAGCTTCTGAGTCTGTAAAATGGGACTAAAACGGCCCTTCTCAGGTTCTGAATGCTGAATAGTGGATAGAGATGCCATGAAACGAATGCATGGGTGTGTGGTGGTGGAGAAGAACCCCGAACGGTCCGTGGACTGCCAACAGAGCAAACATATGTCCTGGAGAAAGTGCAAACAATGTGCACCTTAGACCAAGGATGGTGGAAATTACTCTCACACAATTTTTGCGTGTTGTTGGGAGTGGTCAGTCCTTGGAAAAAGGAATCTTGTTGAGAAAGGTGGAGGGTCAGGAAAAGGAAGGGAAACCCTCAGCAAGGTGGACTGAAGTTGTTGTTGTTAGGTGCCGTTGAGGACTCATAGCGACCCTAGAGCTGAACCCTGTCCCATCCTGTGCCATCCTCATCATCTCCGGCACACTGAGCCCCTGGCTACAGTCACTGTGCCAGTCCATCTCACTAGGGAGTCTCCCTCTCTTTGGCTGACCCTCCACCTTTCCAAGCATGATGTCTCTTTCCATGGAAAAACCATCAGCATGCCTACAGTACACGAGACAAAGCTTTGTCATCCTGGGTTGGCATCTGTCTGTAAAAATGTTCTCGGAGATGATGATGGTGCAGGACAGGCCAAGGTTCAGATCGATTGTTCATATGGTGACTATGACAGATGGCTCCTAACAACAACAGAAGAAGGACCTCCAGGAAGCATAGCCCATAGGGAAGTGCTCTGCCAATGCAAAGGGCAGGCTCTCTGGCAGTCTGGATCCACCAGGATTTTCTGTAGGAGAAAGATGAGCGATCTTCCCCAGGGTGATTTCCAGCCCCAGAAGCCCGCCAGAGGGTCGCCTATGGGTGTACTCTGACGCAAGGGCAATGAATTTGAGATTATAGAAGGAGCCAGGCACTTACTTGTTCCTTCTTCTTAGAACTCTCTTTACCATCTGCCCCCTCCATCTCCTCAGAGAGGCTGTCCTGACCACACTCTGAGTGAAGACGTGTGCTTCTTTCCCCCATTCATTTCTGCAGGAACTTGGTTTGGTTCACAACAGAACCCCGCCTCAGTGCTCAGCAACAGTGCTCTCCAGGCTGCGGTTGTTGGTGTGAGGGAAACAGAACCTTGAAGAAGAGTCCTATTGAAGAACTTGATGGAGAAAGTTGACTAGGACGTTGAGCAACTGCAGACGGTTAGCACTGGCTGCCCTCACGGTGCCTGGAGACAAAGGGTCAGAAGACCTGAGCAGCTAGGCCCCCCAGAGGCTGCCTCAAGTTCTCCGTCAGGGAAATGTGGAGAATGATTCTTGAAAACTATGAAGTACAATAAAAAGCCCCTGTAGCTGGGAGTTGTTACCATCAAGTCAGAACCAGCCCACAACTGACCCTCCAGTAAGGTTTCTGAGGGTGTCAAACCCATGGAAGGAGATTGCCCATCATTCTCATATGGAGCAGCTGGTGGATTCAAACCAGGCGTAGGAAGTCAAAAAACAAGGTCCCCCAGGTGGTGCAAATGGTTCAGGGCTCGACTACCCACCTAAGGCTGGGTGAGAAACCATAGCCCTGAATACAGAGCATCATTCTGCACCCATGGGGTCCTGTGAGTCAGACAGACGGCATGACAGTTAACAAGAGCCAGCGGGGTGATTGATCAGGTGCAGTCCAGTGGCAGGTGCCCCCCACCCCAGATGTAGCCGAGGATGTATGTAGCAAAGGATGTATATAGCACTGCCAAGGTCAAGAGTGACCATGACCTTGAGGAAGGCCCAGAACTAGATTGATCCACAGGACTTGGTGATGGGTAGGTGGGTGAGCAAAACAATCTTTAACTGCATGGAAAATCAAGGTGGGCAGGGCTGTGGGAGTGAAGCTTAGAGGACCAGGAGGCAGAGGTGGAGCACACACTCTGCATAGCTCAGGACTGGAGCTCCAGCAGCCATCAGGACAAGTTCTGAGGCCCAGTCTCTGCCCAATGTGACCTAATCCAGAAATGCATGGGGTCAGGGGCTTGGCTGTGCTCCAGCACACAGGCACTTAAAGGATGATGATAATCATTCAGTGACACATTTTTATCGAGCTGTATAGCCGAGTTGCCTGCGACTCATAGCGACCCTATGTACAACAGCCTTAAACTCTGCCCTATCCTGTGCCAATCTCACCATCTCTGACACACCTATCCCCATTACCCCAGTCACTGAATCAATCCATCTTATCAAGGGTCTTCCCCTCCTGCGCTGTCCCTCCACCCTCCCAAGCATGATGTCCTTCTCCAAGGACTGTTTCCTCCTTGCAACATGCCCAAAGTATGTCAGAGAAGGTCCAGAATCCTTGCTTCCAAGGAGCAGCCCAGTTTAACCCTCTCCAGGATAAACCTGTTTGTTTTCCTAGCAGTCCAATACTCTTCTCCAACACCACAGCTCAAAGGCATTAAGTCTCCATCATCCCTAGTGTGTGTGTGTATCCCTCTAGGAGCTAACATTGAAGCAAAGGGGGGTAAGCAATACCTATATAATTAGACTATATTGTATATTGAAGGTAGGTGTTATTCAGGGAAAGGTGGTAATCAGGGAGGGCCTTCCTGAGGTGACATTTGCATGAGAGGTTGGAAATATGATTGGGCTCTTTTGTGAAAATTCATTAGGCTGTGAACAATTCTAATTTGTGCACTTTTCTGAATATATTTCATACTTCAATAAAAAGTTTGTTTAACTATGACAATGTGAGAATAATGGTAATCATTTTGAGCCCTTCTGTTACTTGCTATGCAGTGACTATGTGCTTAAGAACTGTGGTGGCCAAGTAGGTAAGCTCTGAGCTGCTATCCAGAAAGTCAATGGTTCAAATCCAGCCAATCCACAAAAGAAAGGTATCTGTTTCCATAGAGATGACGCCCTTAGATACTTTATGTGCAATCTTATGATAGTGTCCTCAGGGTCACCCTGAGTCAGAATCAACTCGATAGCATTAGGTTTAACAGGTAACAAGCTTTGTTTCTACTGTGATAGTTATTTAGTTGTTGGCTGGGAGTGTATGACACTGGAAACCAGTTTGAAAATCATCTACAGGAGCTCAGAAGCTGTTGGCTGGGATTGGTGAGCAGTAGGTTGGAATGTTGATTCGCCAAGGGAAATGAGACGATGTGATAAGGCCTCCTATTTAAAAAACAATTAGGGCCCTCCGGCCTGCAGCACTCAGGCCTGGTTTAAATTGTTTTTGTCAAACATTTTTCTAAGTGATATAGCACTGGTCTGTGCATTGCTGTACAGAAGTAACTTGTGGTTGTTGTGATGCTAAACACTGTGACACTGATGTACCAAATGCAATAATGGCTACCTATGGTGGACAGTGGTGGAGCATCCCAATTAAAACAAGCTTGGAAGCAGGAGTGGCATCCACTTCTGAAATGGTATGCCTCTGGAAATTCTATGAACATGGAGAAACGACCAAAGTTATACTAGTG